TTGTCAAGAAATTGGGAATTGGAGGAGAGATTTGTGAGTATGCCCTCAAGTGCCCTCAAGTGTGAGAATAATTATTACTTGAAGTTCACATAGCAAACGAGAAACCAAATTATATGCAGCATGTTACATTTAATTACTAGTTGTTTTTGTATTAATTTTAAATTCTATACAATGGACAATGGGCAAACTGCAATAACCCATATTAGCTAATCCAATTTATGTTTTCATTAGTTAGTCAAATCATAGATAGAAGATTGCTCAATGATTAATATTGCAACACACAACTTGTTTAAGGTAAACTATAATGAGGGTGGGGTATAGTGTCTTAGACATCATAATATTTTACACTCGAGGAGTACACATTATCGGTACCGATACAGGGCATTTTGACAAGTACTTGTACTTGTCAAAATGCCCCGATGCATAGCGCCGATGCTTGCGCTGTTTTTTTTTCTTTACCTTCCGTGGTGGGGTCCTCTGGGCAGTCGCCGGCCACCTACATTAGGACCCCACCTGGAGCGCCGCCCACAGCAGTTCCCGTCTCCAGATGTGTGCAGGCACGTCTGGGCCCTCACTGCCAGCTGAGCACCGCCCACCAGCAAGCCCAAGCTGAGGAGTGCGCGGAGCCCGTGCATCTGTCTCCCGGACCACAGGTCCCGCTCAGCCGCTCAGCACCGACGACGTCCTCACATGTGAGGAAAAGCATTCGGCACCTCCATTGAACAGGTACCAGTAAGTGAGGGCCTGTGCTGAAATGGGAAGTGCATTGTATTTGTAATGTGCACTGTATATGTACTTCATATAGAGTAATAGGTTAAATCATGATCCATAGTACATAACATGTAGTTGTACTATGGATCATGATTTAACCTATTCATGTTAGCAGGGTATAATTGAAAAACTCTATTGCTGCAGTGTGCTCTATATGTAGTACATATACAGTACATATTCCCAATACGCTGCAGCAATAGAGTTTTTCAATGATCCCCTGCTAACATGAATAGGTTAAATCAGGGCTCAAAATTTCCACTCGCCTGCTCGCATTTGGCGAGTGGAAATAATGTGAGTGCGAGCCAGGCACGAGATCTATCTGCTCTCTCCCTTCTCTCCTCTAGCACCTTCAGTTTCCTTCTGCTCTGTCCTGCCACTATCGGCTCCATGATCGTGCCTTTGTTTAGACTGGTGACAGGAGACGTGTCTGTGTATCGTATAAGCCAGCGTCTCCTGTCACCATAGATACCCGCTCTCTACTGCGCATGTGCAGGCATACGGGACTATGAGCTGGAATGTAGTGGCCCCTCTAGTTATAGGCGTCCCTGTTCCCATGGCAGCAAAAGTCTGCTTGAACTAATGGCCGGGTGCTGTGATTCTTCCTTTGATCTCCACACTGCTATTTCAGGAGGGGGAGGTTGATCCGCAAAGGGTCATGGACGTCATTTGATCTCTGCAAGCAGGTACTCCAGTCTATTCGTTTGGATAGTTGAATAACATTCACTTTCATGATTGTTTATATTTATTTTTGAATTATCTGGCGGGAATGTGACATCCTACTGATGTCATAGGAAGTTGGGGCAGTTCTTTACTTTTTTTCTATATGGTGATTAGGTTTCTCTGTATAAAGTGTAGCTGGGAATTGTAGTCCTCTACAGACGATATCATTCCGCCTTTCTGTATAAAGTGTAGCTGGGAGCTGTAGTCCTCTATAGACGATATCATTCCGCCTTTCTGTATAAAGTGTAGCTGGGATTTGTAGTCCTCTATAACTGGTGCCATTCTGTAATTAAGGTCGGGTCAGGGTAGGGGTTAGGTGGAGCAACTGGTGGCGAGTAACTTTTACGGCCTGGGTAGTAGATCAGGACTTGAAATTTTGAGCCCAGGGTTAAATGATCCATAGTACATAATAGTACATATTATGTAGTTGTACTATGGATCATTTAACCCATTCATGTTAGCAGGGGAGAATTGTAAATCTATTGTTGCAGTGTATTCTATATGTACTGTACATGTACAGAACACATTCTCAATACACTGCAGCAATAGATTTACAATTCTGCACTGCTAATATGAATGGGTTAAATGATCCGTAGTACATAATATGTACATAATATGTAGTTGTACTATGTTTCATTTAACCTATTCATGTTAGCAGGTCTAAGAAGACGCGCTGGCGCTGACTCGAGTATAAGCCGAGGGGGCACTTTTCACCCAAAAAAAATGGGCTGAAAATCTCGGCTTATACTCGAGTATATACGGTACATGTTATGTACCGTATATACTATGGATCATGATTGAACCTATTCATGTTAGCAGGGGATAATTATAACTCTATTGCTGCAGTGTACTGGATGTGTGTGCTGTATATGTACTATGGATCATGACTTAACCTATTCATGTTAGCAGGGCAGAATTGTGAGCGCCTCCCACAAGCTGAGCACCGAGACATGATGCAGTGATCCTGCCCAGCGCCGATTACGAGAGGCACCGCGTGAGGCAACAGGGATAAGAGTGAAACTGAGTGAGGGAAGCTGGGACAGGGCTGGCTGCAAATCTATTGCTATAGTGTACTGGACGTGTGTAATGTATATATAGTACATATATACAGCACACACCTCCACTACATTACAGCAATAGATTTACAATTCTCCCCTGCTAACATGAATAGGTTAAATTAATGATCCATAGTACATAACATGTAGTTGTACTATGGATCATTTAAAGTCACCTGTCCCTTTAAGAAAAAGTATCGGTAATTGGTATCGGCAGGTACATGAGGGGAAGTACTTGTACTTGGTCTTGAAAAAGTGGTATCGGGACATCCCTAGCAACAACCTCACAAACTAGAAACTGAACTCTATTATCACACTGCTAGTGAGAGTGGGCAAGATACCTTTAAAGGTATGGGGACTAATCAGGAGTAAATTGGGGAAAAAGGAACTCCAGTTTGGGTTTCAGAGATCCATATGATGGTGCAGATTTTTATCTGAAGATCTTCTGGGCACTTGATAAGTCTCTGTTTGTGTGCTCCTGTATAGGATTGCCCTGCAATCAAAATTGATAAAGGTCTTCCTTTGCTCTGCTTTGCTTTGTTTTACTGGCACTTACCTGGCTTACAATATTGCCACTTGGTTAGGAAGTTTATATGAGATCATTTGGAAACTCCTTTTTTGCCTCTTCTGCCTCAGCCTGCTGTGCTATGGATTTAGCAATTCTGTCTTTGGAGAGTTTTTGCTAGTAAGACATAAGTCTAATTGTTACACGTCACTACACCGAAAAATTTAATCATCCAAATTCTAGATACATTAAGATTCCATATACCTCCTGACATGGGAAGGTCTGCTTCTTGAAAGGGAAACTGTAAGAAAAGAAATATGGGAGCTGCTTTGCACCAAAACATTGGGGTAAATTTACTAAAGGAATAGCGACTGTTCACTTAACTTAGTGGATACGGTACAGCTGTATTTACTTCAATCATCCAATTTACTGGAAGCGAAATTCCAGTCTTTTTCATTTCCCTGGCAGATAATTGTGCATTCAATGTGAACACACACTGAGGTAGTGAACATTCAGTTTGCAAAGTAAACCACTTTCCAGATTGAGCATTTACTTTACTTAGCACTCAATCTCTACTCCTTTAGTAAATCAACCCCAATGCCTCAGTAAGCTGATGCAAGTATGCAGCTCTGGTATCCCACCATTGTGAATAGTGACTTTTATCCAATATAACATTGTACAATTCACTTCCCATGTTCTAATATTACCTTTAGGGCATGCTATAGTACAGCCAAAATTAGTGAGAACTCAGTAACCATTTATATACAATACTGATTTGCTTATATTGTGCTTGCAGATGAATGAATTGATATGCCAAGCTGGAAATTCAGCCCAAATTGGCAACCTGAACATGGTAATCTCCCATAACTTTATAAACCGTAAAACCCCAATAAATTCATTTTAAAACAGAGGAGAGGGGGCTTGCTTCCCAACTTGATGTGGTTTCTGACAGAAGTGAAGATCCAGCATAGAATTGATAAATAAAAAAGACCAATATATTTTTATAGGTTTTATTTCAAAAGTTTTAAAATATAAAAGCAACTACAGTGAGTTACATGGATCTTACAGTATAGCAAAGATGTGTAAACAAGAAACAACTTGTTTGGACAAAATATTTGATTACATATTTATACAATTATAAGAGCTATCATTACGTTCAGTTGTAGCCCGATAAATATTTTAAATGACGGACATTGTTACCCAATCACCACAGCATTTTACAGCCTGCTTACAACCCGACCCCGGTGTCAGAGTTTTCTGTGGAGAATATTTTGAATTTGTAGGACTCAAGCTTAACAAAAAGTCCATAAATAAATGAGGAAAGCCTGCAATGTGAGTCATGAAAATGTACACACATACACATCATCACTGCACCTCCACATTACCACAATAAATGCTAATCACTTACAAAGGTGTAAATGGGCTTTAAGCTTCTGTGTCACCAGATGTGTTTAAACTATGTAGCTAGCTGTTTGCCTTGAGTTTAGATGTAATTATATGTGGTGCATTGGAAAGGAACCTAAGGAGAGTCCCCCATCTGAAGCACCCATGTGATTCTGAAGAACATATCCAAACTGCAGACTTACCAATTACGATCCTCTAGCCTGGAAAGGTTTGACACAGTTGTAGATCTAAATCCTGTTAAAACACTGCATGTTAGGATAAAAAATTACTCCTCAAAGAATTTAAAGTAGACCCAAACCCTACATGTCATCCTAAGTGGATGACATTAAGGGGTCTATTCACGAAGCTGCAGAAGGATCTGGCCGTAGCTTCGGCCGATCCTTCGGCTAGCTTCGGCCCCAGGACCCCTTCAGTTCAGTAGAACAGAAGGGGTGCTGTACGGGCTATTCACAATTATTCACAATTACCAGGTATTATTTTAAAGAAAGTTGCAGATTTAAAAAATATTTAAGACAACTTTTGAGACTGCATTAATGTGTTAAAATGTATAAAATATATTAGTTATTGGGTTTAGAATTGCTTTTTGGGGGTTAATTCATGGCTTTTGAAATATCCCATAGAAAATATAACATTTGGTAGGCTTATGCTGTATGATATAGAGAAAAGGGCGATCTGCTCTAAAAATCTCTTCTGGCAGCGCTAAGTCGAAAAAAAAAAAGCCATCATCAGCATGGGTTACATCTTTAGTGCCATCTTCATCTCCATTCACAGTAGCCAAACTAATTAGATCTGAGACATATAAGTTGTCTGGAGATATTCCTGTCAATTTGGCTTTGGTATCATTGAAAACATCAGGCATCCCCAGACTTGACAAAATAGCTTTCATTGAGTAGGCACTGTCTATTTTAAATTGAGGGAGAAAAACTTTAGTATACTTCTTCCACATGTACTTGGGGTCTGTCCATTTCGTCAGTTTCTCATAAGACATGCTTTGCACTACCTGAAAGACAAATTATTGTAAAATTCCATAATAATAAATAAGAATATATTATAAAAAGTTGAAAATGATAAAATTGCATTTGGCTCTGTTTTATAATTGTGTGTTTATTAAAAGAAAATAAATATAAGCAAATACATTTTTTGAGCCTCTACATGTCAATGGTCACCAAACTAAGGGAAATAATAGCCTTGTAAAGTGAAAATGTATTTGCAAAATGAACAGCCTATTTGCCTTAAATAAATCAACCACAAGCAGTGGCGGACTGACCATATGGGCAGTCGGGCACTGCCCTAGGGCCCGCCCCCCCCTGCCCTTTTCAGCCCTCATGGAAGAGGAAGCGGGTTTGTTCGCCGCCTCTTGGGCCCACCATACACAGTCATTGCCGCTTTAACAGAGCCGCATCTGCTACAACGGTGCGGCCGAGAGCTCCGAGGTGGGGGGTGTCGCCGTGGACAGAGGGTGGACCTACCGCGGAGGGTGGACGGAGGGACGGAGGCACGAGAGCCTCATGCTGGGGGGACCCCACTGGGATCTGGCCTTGGGCCCCCCACTGGAGGAGTTCTACAAAAACCCCGACTGGAACCTGGTGATCGGGAGCCCTGATGCTGGTAAGTGAATTTAATGACTTTTCTTTCTTGAGCTGTAAATGGGAAGATTTTTAACCTTTTTAGTCTCAATTCACATACAGCATTTGTGTTTCCCGTGGGGTTTTTCATGTGGAAGACCGCACGGGACACAAATGCTATATGATTCTGCTAGTTTGCTGCCATTATATAGCCGTGAATGTGCGGAATCTGACGGATTATCGTGCTTGCAAACCGCACGGCCCCCAAAATAGTGCAAGCATGATAATCCAGCGGATTCTGCACGTTTGCGGCTATATAATGGCTGCAAACGAGCAGAATCCATACAATTGTTTCACATATTGCGTTTGCGTCCTGTGCGGTCTTCCACACAGAAATGAAAATGTTATGGGGGTTATTCACCGAGTGAATAACCCAGCCGAAGTGAAGTGAGCTGAACGTTGTTCAGCTATTCACTTCAGCCTTGTAGGGATGATTTCAGCCATACATCAGCTAAAATCAGCCGTACATCGCCTGCCTTCGGTCAGCCGAACATGCTCTGCATGTATGGCTGAGCCGAAGTGCAGAAGGAGTTCAACTCAGTCGATCCAACATCTGGATTGGCTGAGGCGAAGCTCCGGCACTTTACTTGCTGCTGTTCACCCTTATTTACATGGGGGCTGAACGGCAGTAAGTAAAGAGCCAAATGCCGTGAGCGGCATTCGGCTTGGCTATTCTGCTCGGTACCTCCGTGGTAATGAGCAGAATAGAAAAAAGTTAAATGAATGAGAAAAAAATGTAGAAAATTTGTTTCATACATTTTTAAAAATAGCAATATTTAAAAAAATTCTACATATTTTTAAGAAAAAAAAAGACGCACATCCTATTGGCCAGCACCTGCCAGAGTCTTCTAGTAGGTCATGGCCAATAAATAACCCAGTTGCCCAGTTGTTATTGTTTAATGACAGATCAGAGTCCCCAGGTCATTTGGGGACGCTGATCTGTTATTACAACTGGGCAGAGCCAGCCGTGAGATGATGGCTGGCTCCGCCCAGCTTTCATCTGCGTGGAGATCAGTCGGCTTCGGCTGACCTTTCTACATGCTTTGGCTATGAATACGACTCTGCCAAGTTGAAGCCTATGGGTTCGGCTCGCCTGAGCCACTCAGCTGCCTTCGTCTGCTGTACGGGCTATTGTGAATAGCCCGTACAGCAGCCCTTCGGTTCGACTGAACCGAAGGGCAGAGGCAGCCGAAGCAAGCTGCAGGATCAGCTGAAGCTACGGCTGGATCTTTCGGCTCCGTCGTGAATAAAACGAGAGAAGATAGTCAGAGCTGTGACTGGGAAGAACCCCAAAACATGAAAAGGGGGGAGGGAAGAACGAGACTGAAAATCTTTCATATTGAAAGCCCTCCTTTAATTATAATTACTGATACAAAGTCACATTGAGGGCCCAGTCACACCATAAAGAATGTGTTCTAGAGCATTCAGCCTCTGGAACGCAACCCAGCCAGCTCATTTTGTTTTGAGGCGGGTGGGGGCGTGGCAATGCATTAAAGTTAATAGAAGCACAGCCACACCCCCCCGCCCGCAGTGCGATCGCCGGCACCCAAACGTGTGGAACATTAGTGCCTGCGTTCCGGTCCAGTGCGATCTGCAAAAAGTAGTGCAAGCAGCATTTTTTGCAGATCGCACTAAAGCGGAAGGCAGGCACTAATGTGCATCACCACGCCCACTCCCGCCCCAAAACAAAGTGAGCCGCCTGGGTTGCGTTCCAGAGGCCAAACGCTCTGGAATGCACTCATTATGGTGTGACATACCTGACAGCACTGAGGATTGTCTTTGCTTCCAATGGCTGAACAAGTTCACAGGCTAAACAGCAGAAACTTAATTCCTAGATCAAACATTCTTCAACACTTACAACACTTACATTGTATAGATCTTTACTGTTGTCTGGCAGTATTACATACATGCAGAGATCCTTTGTTTTTCCGTATGGAAGTTCAAGGATCCTCAACTTTTCATCATCTATAATTTGAAGATTAAATCTACCAAGGGCAGACATCAGTTGTACAGGTACGTTTTTATCCTGTGAGAAAAAAAAGTGAATTCACCATAACAAATATTTGATTGGGTGTATATATATATATATATTGTGGCAGTGCGTCGCAATGCCATGCAAGATGCTGGCAACGCAGACACCCAGGACTCCCAGCCAGAGGGGCTGAGCGGTTCCAGGAGACAAGTTCTTGTACTGGGAAAGAGCTGACTTTGCGACTCTTCCCAGGATTTCTGGATTTGGCATGGGATCCTGGAACTGCTCAGCCCCTCTGGCTGAGAGTCCTGGGTT